TCATGACCTGAGCAGAAGTCGGATGCATAACCGACTGAGCCACCTAGGTGCCCCTAAAAACAATATTTTTTAAGAAGTAAAACACAGTAAGAGAATAAGTAATCCAAAGTTATACATAAGGGAGTATCTAAAATGTATAAGAGACAGTTCTTAAAATGCTCATTCACTGTTTCAAAAAATTTAATGTTTAAAATATTAAAACTATAGACAATTTCTTTAGAGTGAATAAAAACATTTCTTACAAAAGGATCTGCTGGTTTCTCCTTACAAAGGGCTGTGAGTCCTTTAAGCAGAGTTGGTGTTACATATAAATTTAAATAGTCCTTAGCAGCTTGTAAAACTGGAATAGGCTCAATAATCACTGTAAACCAAATGTATTCCCATTAAAATTAATACAAATGATGAAATATTATATAATCATTACAAAAGAAGAAATTTTAGTGGCATGATACTTACAAAGTTTTTTTTAAAAAAAGGAAACAAAACTAGAATATAGCATACATAGTTTGTTCAAAAACACATAAGCACACACAGAGAAATAATAAGACTATATAAGACAGGCAAGAAACATACCAAAATGCTAACAGTGATCGTGTATAAAGTTCTGATTATGTTTTCTACTATATCCTTGGCTGCATTTCCATTTCCATATTTTTTATAGTAAATATCACAATGGACAATGTCATGAAAAAGAAAAATATGAATATCATGTAAAATCTAGGAGATTAATTAATTCCAACAATTAATTGCTGCCAACAAAATGGCAGGCACTTTACAAAGTGGTATAGATATAACGGTGTACATGTATTTCTTGTTCTCTTATAGACTACTGAATATACACATAAAATCTATTTGTGTCTACGTAATATATATTAACACTCCTGCTTATTTTTCAAGTTTTTAAATAAATTATATAACATATAGGAAAGTTTTAGTCTTTTTAGCTTTGTTTGAACACTATGTAAGTCAATCAGACTCGTAGTACCAAAGAATATATTTATACAAGGAAGAATGTAGTTTACAGTCTTAAGTCTTTTGAGGATGACCTCCATTAATGTGCAACTTTCAATAAAGATGGGGATGCAAAGCTACTGGTCTCACATGTTCAGATCTAAATCGTTACTGGCCCAAGGAAAAAGAGGGTGGGAAGACAGATTTCTGTGTGACTAGTATATGGGCTCAATCTCAATGAGAGATACAACTAACAACAGGAGAGTCCTTTGCCAGGATGGCAGGTAAAGCTAGAAAACATCACAAAGGATTGGAATAAAAAGTTCCTTTCCTATTAGTCTCATTATAGCACTCTTTTTTGTACTGATTGTTGTAATAATTTTTAGTTACATAAATATTTAAGTTTATTTTTGAAGTGGGGTGGGAGGTTACAAGAGCTTATGTGTGTGCATAGGGGAGAGGCAGAGAGAGAGGGAGACAGAGAATCCCAAGCAGACTCCTCACTGTCAGTGTAGAGCCTGACATGGGGCTTGAACTCACACACCGTGAGATTATGAGATTATAACCGGAGCCAAAATCAAGAGCTGGAGTGAATGAGCCACCCAGGTCCCCCTCCCCAGTGATTAATTATGTTTTAACACCTTTTCATGTGCTTATCAGCCATTCATATATCTTTCGCGAAATGTTTATTCAAATCTTTTACGTGTTTTTTTTTTTTTTTAATTTTTAAGGTTTTATTATTTATTTGTTTATTTATTTTAGAGAGAGCAAGAGCATGCACATTTAGGAGTGGAGCAGTGGGAAAGAGAGAACCTCAAGCAGGCTCCAGGTTCAGCACAGAGCCTGATGTGGGGCTGGACCTCATGACCCTGAGCTGAAATCAATAGTTGGATGCTCAACTGACTGAGCCACCCAGGCGCCCCTGAAAGGTTTTATTTTTTTTTTAATTTTTTTTTTCCAACGTTTTTATTTTATTTTTGGGACAGAGAGAGACAGAGCATGAATGGGGGAGGGGCAGAGAGAGAGGGAGACACAGAATCAGAAACAGGCTCCAGGCTCCGAGCCATCAGCCCAGAGCCTGACGCGGGGCTCGAACTCACGGACCGCGAGATCGTGACCTGGCTGAAGTCGGACGCTTAACTGACTGCGCCACCCAGGCGCCCCGAAAGGTTTTATTTTTAAGTACTCTCCACACCCAATGTGGGGCTTGAACTCACAATGCTGAGGTCAAGAGTCACATGCTCTACTGACTAAGCCAGCCAGGTGCCTCTGCCTGATTTTTAATTGCTTGCCTTCTTTTTACTGAATTGTAAGAGTTCTTCATAAATTCTAGATACAAGTCTTTTATTTCATAAGATTTGCAAATATTTCTTATCACACTCTGTGGCTAATCTTTCCAATATTTTTAATGATGGCTTTTGAAACATAAAATCTTTTAATTTTGATGTAGTCTAATTTATCAGTATTGTCTTTTATGGATCATGTTTTGAGGTCATATGCAAAAATCCTTTGTCCAACTCAAGGTCATGAAGATTTTCCATGTTTTCTTCTAGATATTTTTAGCCCTTATGCTTAGGTCTATGATCCATTGTTGTTAAGTTCTCTAATTGGTAAGAAAAGAGGATCTGAGTTCTTTCTCTTTTTTGGCATGAGGATATTCAGTTATCTTATCATCATTTGTTGAAAAAGACTATCTTTTCCCCATCAAATTGTCTAGGCACTTTTGTTGAAAGTCAATTGACCATAAACGTATTTATGTAAGTGTTTATTCCTAGATTCTTAATTCTGTTTCATTGATTAATATGACTCATACAATACTGCCTTAGTTACTGTGGTCTCATAGTAAGTTTTGGGTTTTTTTGAGTTTATTTATTTATTTTGAGAGAGAGAGAGAGAGAGAACAGGGGACAGGCAGAGAGAGAGGGAGAGTGAATCCCAAAAATTTCTGCACTGACAGCGCAGAGCCCAATGTGGAGTTGGAACCCCTGAACTGTGAGATCAAGACCTGAGCCAAAATCAAGAGTCCAACACCTAATTTGACTGAGCCACCCTCATAGTAAGTTTTGAAATCAGGTTAGTGGAAGCTATCAAACTTTGTTCTTTTTGAAAATTGTTTTAGCTTGTCTAGATCTTTTGCAATTATATATACATTTTTTAATGTTTATTTATTTCTGAGACAGAGGGAGAGCATGAGTGGGGGAGGGGCAGAGAGAGAGGGGGACACAGAATCCGAAGCAGGCTCCAGGCTCTGAGCTGTCAACACAGAGCTCGATGCGGGACTCGAACTCAAAGATTGTGAGATCACGACCTGAGCCAAAGTCAGACACTCAACCGACTGAGCCATCCAGGTGCCCACAATTACATATACATTTTAAAGTCAGCTTATCAACTTCTACATAAAAGAATGCATGGATTTTGACAGGGATTGCATTAATTGATCAATTTGGAGAGAAATGCCATCTTGACAACATTGACTCTTCTGATACATCAACGTGTGAGGTCTATTCATCTTAGATAGTCTTTGATTTCTTTCAGTAATGTTTTGTGCTTTTCATTGTACAAGAATTTGTACTTCTTTTGTTAAGCTTATTCCTAAGTATTTTATTATTTATTTAATTCCAGTATAATTAATATACAGTGTATTATATTAGTTTCAGGTGTACAATATAGTGATTCAACAATTCTATATACTACTCAGTGTTCATCAAAACAAGTGTACTCTTAATCCCCACCACCTATTTCACCCAACACCCCACCCAGCTACCCTCTGGTAACCATCAGTTTCTTCTCTCTTTTTTTTGTTGTTGTTCTCTATTTTTAAGAGTCTAATTTTTTTTGTCTCTTTTTTTTCTTTGTTCATTTTGTTTTGTAAATCCCACCTATGAGTGAAATAGTATTTTATTTTTTTATGCTATTGTGAATGAAATTATTTCCTTAACTTTAGTTTTGGATTGTTCCTACCTCATCTATTTTTGCTGACCATTTATTATTTGTCTCTAGCAACTAGGGCCAGATGGATTAATGTGAAGATAAAGAATCTTTTCATGTTTCTTACAGAGATGAACCTTCATTGAACTTTTTGAAGCTTTCTAATAATATTTATAGTTTATACACTGCATTGCATATTTATTTTCATAGATTTTTAATATGTGATCATTTTGAGAGCAGGGACATATTCATCTTTGTATTTCTGGCATATAGTAGGTAATACAATAAACTTGTTGAAGCAATGGAATGTAACAAAACTTTGAGTTAGCCATCTCAAATCAAAGGGAAGCAAACTATATTTTTCAAAGGTTAGGAACATGTCTTTGAATATCTTTATAACTTGCTTGAGTGACTCATCATACTGAGTTTTGCACATAGTTCTTTTCATTTTTTTTAATGTTTATTTTATTTATCTTGAGAGAGCATGTAAGCAGGGGAGGAGCAGAAAGAGAGGGAGAGAGAGAGAACCCCAAGCAGGCTCCACACTGTGGTGCAGAGCCCAATGTGAGACCCAAACCCAGAAACCACAATATCATTACCTGAGCCCAAACCAAGAGCCAGATGCTTAACTGACTGAGTCACCTAGGCATCCCACTGCACATAGTTCTTGAGTGACTGGTAAGCAAGAGGGAGCTCATATCCTAACTGAGAATTTACTCCAGAGAGCTTCACATTCTCACAGCAAAAGATCTGCAACATGGTAGGTAATTAATCTTTATATTTATCCTGCAACAGCTGCTTCTCAAATGTCTGACTTTATCTTGTAAACTCATGTCTAGAGGACTAAGTAATGGTAAAATCAAAAGCAATCTAAAATAACAATTGAGGAATATAATCCTATGAGTAAGAAGAGCTTTCAAAAAAAGGACTAGAAAAACAAAACAATAATAGGAGTTAATATTTGAGCACAGATGCACAACACATTTTAAGAATTTTATATATATATATGTATACATTTAACCCTAACAATATCCCTATTAGGTAGGAAGGTACTAATCCATTTGCATTTGACTGATGAGAAGAGAAAGACTCACAGAGAGGTTAGATATCTGGAGCCAGAAGAAAAGTCTAATTCGTTAGTACCTAGACTAAATCTAAGTACTATCACATTAAAAAGACATTTCATGGGGGCACCAGTTGGCTCAATCATCAGAACATGTGACTCTTGATCTCAGGGTCGTGAGTTTAAGCCCCACATTGGACATGAAACCTACTTAAAAAAATAAAGGGGGGCAGGGTGTGGGTGGCTCAGTCAGTTCAGTGTCTGACTTCAGCTCAGGTCATGATCTCTCAGTTCTTGAAATCGAGCCCCATATTGGGCTCTGTGCTGACAGCTCAGAGCCTGGAGCCTGTTTCAGATTCTGTGACTCCCTTTCTTTCTGCCTCTCCCCTGATTGCTCTTACTCTGTGTCTCTGTCTCTCTCCTTCTCAAAAATAAATAAACATTTTTAAAAATTTGAAAAAAGGACATTTCATGTTTGAGATATAATTCAAAACAATATAGAAGATTGAGAAGTAGAAGCAGAGGTTATAGATGAAATAAGACTGACCAAAATTATTTAAATTGGGTGATAGTTTCATTAAGGGTTTATTATACTATTCTGTCTACTGTTGGTTATGTTTGGAGTTTTCTACAATAAACAATTCCAAAAAGATACCCTAATGGAAAGGATATGTGACAGAAATTAGTAAGAGTAAAATATATACAAATCCTTTTGGGTACAAATATCTATAAACAGGTGTTGTGGGGTGTCTGGCTGGCTCAGTTGGGCCCCATATTGGGCGTAGAGATTGCTTAAAAATAAAAAAGTAAAACAAAACAAAACAAACAAAAAAACACACCAGGTTTTGTTTAAGAATCAGGACTTTTAAAGTTCCAAGAGAGTTTTCAGTTTTCTTTGAATAAATCCTCCATAGAAAATACTGAGGAATAAGTCTAAATGACTTAAAAAAAAAATAGCCCAAAAATATTCTATGCTTCTCAATGCTGTAAGTTTTTTAAATGTTTATTTATTTTTGAGAAAGAGAGAGCTCACACAAGCGGGGGAGGGTCAGAGAGAATGGGAAACAGAGGATCTGAAGTGGGCTCTTCACTGACAGCAGAGAGCCCAATGCAGGGACCAGGGGCTCGAAGACACCAACCGTGAGATCATGACCTGACCTGAAGTGGGATGCTCAATTGACTGAGCTACTCAGGCACTCAAATGCTTTACATTTAAAAAAAGATGTTTATTTATTTTGAGAGAGAGAGAGAGAGAGAGAGAGAGAGAGAGAGAGGGCACGCATGAGCAGGGGACAGGCAGAGAGAGAGAGAGGGAGAGAGAAAAAGAATCCCAAGCAGACTCTGCACTGACAGATGGGGCTCCATCTCAGCAACCATGAGTCATGACCTGTGCCAATATCAAGACTTGAATGCTCAACCAAGGGAGCCACGCAGGTGCCCCTACAATTTTTTTCTGTACAACAGAAATCACCAAATTTTCTTCCTGATCTAAAAATATTACTGAAATAAACTAAAAACCTCAATGCTGTTCTTTATTATGCCCATTTCTAAAAGGTTTACAACATCCATAACAGGATGGAAAAAAAACATGGGCCTGAGAACTATTAATTTCACAACTGCACGAGTATTCATTAGGCAACCAGTAGAGAAAATGTTACATCTATCCTAATTTCCAAGGGAGATTCTTTTTTTCATGTGTAACAAACTTTACTGACTCATTAGGGATAACTTAAGGAATTGCAACAAAGGAGAAGAAAAACCCTAAATAGGGCTAGTCTAAGAGAAAAGATAAAAAAAGCAAACCCTTCTCAAAAGATTCCCTAGAGGGCACAATTTAGTTATGAGGGAAATAGTGAGTTTTCCATTTTTGGCTTCAGATTTTTAAGTAACTATAACTTGAAAATATGACAAAATATATTGGAGAAAACCCCTGCTATTTTTCTTTCCAGCTATATCACCCAAATAAAAGAAAAAGCAAACAATAGGAACATGCAATACTCATCGATAACTCACCTTCAGGAAACATGAATCGAATTTCTCTTTCTGCTGCAGCAAAGTCATTACTCCCATGAAGTGCATTCCTTAGGTCATCTGTGCCATAAATTGCCCTTAGACTAAAAGCAAGTTAGAGATGATAACCATCCAATGTGATATCCTTTCCTTACTCTTTACATATGCATTCTGCCCAGGAAATTTACAGAAGCATTGCCACTTCTCACATATATGTAAGTTTTAATCTATTTTGATTTTAAGCCTAAATCTATCTAGATGAGGGTCAAATATATTTAAATCTGCAGGAGAGATACACTGGGAAAATAGGAGTTCTCTGGGTTAAGAAGAGGTGGTGTTTTGTGAGAAGTGAAAAGGCAATGCATATTCAAAAGTGCAAGAATTCAATGTCCTCAAGTTCCCAAACTTTAATGATAATGCTGAAAATCTGGTTTTATGGCCCTCTATTACCAATATTATTTTAAATAGCCATGCCAATTTTCCTATGAAAAATCCCACTTCAGTGGCGGTTTGATTCAAGGATGAGAGAAGAATGAGGCTAATCAACCATAAATCAGACATTCCCTGAGGCCTTTTGTGGCATTTAGTATTAACACAGACATTTAAATAGCTACAGTGTAAAACTGACCCCCCTACCCCAACCAAAATACCAAAAAGTTGATTTAGGAAAACTTTCAAATGCAAAGACACTCCTATTATAATGAAATCAGTTTTTTGTTGTTGTTTTTTGTTTTTGTTGGATTCCTTTTTTCCCCCTAGGAAAGTTACCTGTCTGGGTGTGTCTCCTTAGCTACTAAGGTATTACTTGGTCCCAAAAGTTCTTTCCAGTAAGAGATGGCTTTATGTCTAGCTAATATCATGGCAACAAGTGGTCCAGAACTCATGTAAGCTGTCAAATTGGGGAAAAACATTTTCCCATACTGTTCCACATAAAAGTTACTACAGTGCTCAGGGCTGAGATGTAGTTTTCTTCTCTATAAGAAAAACAAAGTCAACAAAAGTATTTAAAATGACAATTCAATAATAACACATTGTCATTAGTAACTTGAAATTAATACTAATCTCATTACAAATTTGAGATTTTTGTATTATGAAGAAAGGGAGAGGGAAGAAAGTTAAATATAGGCTATAAATAAAATTCTATGTTATTTAACCAACCCTTGCTCACTGTTGATATGAATGTAAACTGGCGAAACCACTTGGAAAACAGTATGGAGGTCCATCAAAATATTAAAAATAAAACTACCATATGACCCAGATCAAGATGTCATATGGATCAAGTATGTGTATGTATGTTTGCATATATATTGTATATACACTTAAAAAAAATATATATATATATATATATATATAATGGAATATTAATCAGCCTTGAAAAGAATGAGATCTTGCCATTCTTGACAACGTGGATGGACCTAAAGGGTATTATGATAAGTGAAACAAGTTTGAGAAAGACAGATACCATGATTTCACTTACATGTGGAATCTAATAAAACAAATGAATAAACAAACAATAACATACTCTTAAATACAGAGAATAAACTGGTAGTTGCCAGGGGGTTGGGAGGGATGAGCAAAACAGATGAAGGGAATTAAGAGGTAGGAACTTCTAGTTACAAAATAAATCACAGAGATGAAAAGTACAGCATAGGGAAGAGAGTCAGTAAAATTGTAATAACCTGGTATGGTGACAGATGGTGACCACATTTACTGTGGTAAGCTCTGAGGGATGTACAGAATTGTCAAATCAGTATGTTGTACACCTGAAACTAATATAACATTGTATATTAATTACACTTAAATAAAAAAGAGCTATTTAACCTAAGAAAAACTATTCCTATTTGGCAGTCTCCTTCAATATATGGTTTGTTAATGATGAATTCAGCTTATCTCTTTAAAGTAAAAAGACTACTATCACCAATATTTTGTTAATATATACTTTGTATACATTGAAGTAACAAAATTAGATTTTAGAACATTCCAAATTCATCTTTTACCTATTTGTGTGATATTTTCTTATTTATTGTGAAACTTTCCTACATTATTTTAGGGAGCTGGTCTCATTATGGTACTTAGAAATAACACCCAGTATAATGACGCTATAAACAAGTTTTTCTCTTGAATGTGAAAATTGTGTATTTATTCTGGTTCTGCCATAAATATGTAGATTGACTGTGATGTTAAGAAAAAATAGTTGGTATTAAGTGTCTCAATTTGAAAGAATATAAATTGTTGAGAGCAAATAAACATTATTTTCTTCACAAATGAGACTATATGAATGAATCAGTAAAAATATCATAGAAGTCAGCCATTCTTCTGATTGGAGATCATCCTTCTCTAAAAGCAGCTATTTGAATGCTTTTTAAAAATCATCCATTAACGGGGCACATGGGTGGCTCAGGGGGTTGGGCATCCGACTCTTAGTTTCAGCTCAGGTCATGATCTCGTGGTTTGGGAGTTCAAGCCTTGCATCAGCACGGAGCCTGCTTAGAATGCTCTCTTTCTCCCTGCCTCTCCTCTGCTCATGCTCTCTCTCTCTCTCTCAAAAATAAATAAATAAACTTTAAAAAAATCATCCAATACTACTGTTTCTCAGTTCCACTAAAGGTGGACCATGAAGGAAAAGACTCAAAATATAAAAGAGGGATTCAAAGCCCTCATTAAGGAAAACTTCTGGCTAGAATAAAGATGATCAGAATGTGAATAAATCACTAGGTCAAAGCTACAAATCTCCATATTTAAGGCAGAGAGCTATCTTTCTAAAGTGGGTTAGATGTTCCTAAGAGTATAGTGTGAAATTTACCAAGTGATCTCTTAAAACTTTTTTTTTTT